GGGACAATCACCTCTCGGGCCCTACTCCCCACGCTGTTCCTGATACAGGCCAGGATGCTGGTGGCTTTCTTGGCCACCTGGTAAAAAGGAGTTTCAGAGTCTTTATCCCAGGCTCTCAGCCACCGCTCAGACCTAGCTCTCCAGCTACCTGTGTTTTGGGTCAGAGAGGCCTCCTACCAAACGCCATTAGAAATGATTGGACTTCAGTGCAGTAATTCCACGTGCACAACTCTTTCCAGTTCAGGAGGCTCCCTCAGAGGGTGCCTGCAGGCTGTGAAGCCTCCCACCCCTCCCAGAGGGTTATGTAAAAGCTCCAACACCTTCTGACCAAAAGTGAGAACTGGGCAACCTGGTTCCATGCGCCACATTTTTCACCTCCACTTTCCACTGAATTCCCCAGTCTCTCTAGTGAAGATCAGCTGTTTGATTACATCAAAGTATGATTGCTGATTTACATAATCGTAAGTGAGAAGGAAATTCAGTGTGCTATTTCAGAAACTGAATTGCCCTTTCTTGCATCTTTTGCCTGTGAGCAGTACTTACATAACAAATAGCAGCTAGCTCCTGACGCAGGGTACTCGCCTCCAGGCTTGATGTTGTTTTCATTGGATTTACTCCATTGTCATAAACTGTAAACTTAGTTCCCATAAGATTTGATCTATCAAAAAAAGAAAAAAAAAAAAAAAGGAAAATCCAATCACCATTTGTCAGTAATGCTGCCCGAGACATCTATCCTTTACTGCACTGTAGCCCCGGAGGAAAGACAGGTAATATCGAGTACAAATAGTTGTTAATTCTGATCCCAACTCCTGGATTAAAGGCCATAACAAAAATGTACAGGTACAGAACAGCAGAGTACACCAAATGCCCTTGTTACAGTGGAGACTTCCCACGATGTCTTGCAAACTAGAAAATTCCAGAAAGCAGTAAGGGAACATCAAATGGGGTTATTTTGTTTGTTTGCTTGGTTTTTAAAATATGCTTACTTTCTACAGAACTATCTGCTTTCTTCCCTGACTACTAACTCTACTGGAAAACAGAGTGATTTTCATAAACTTATAAATAAGATCAGTCTTTCCCATTTAAATGGAAATCACACCAAGGAGCAAAAACTTAGAACATACTAAAACCACATTATCCTCATTCTGTGTTCACACTGCAAGAAATAGCACGTGGAGTTCCTAGATCCACACAGGCAAATGGGAATTGGCAACACAGTCCCTTTCCTCAGGCACAGATGATCTAAACATACATTAAGAGGCTGATGTATGGTGGGGTGACAGACAGAAAAGAAAAAGTGCTTCTGAAAGTGCACATTAACAACAGACTGATGTTTGGTGGGGTGTTAGACAGAAAAGAAAAAGTGCTTCTGAAAGTGTTCCACTACTTGCAAATAACTCTAATACGGATCTTAAGAAATGGCAAAACCAAAGAGATTTTCAGATTGTCTGACAGACAGAAATTCCATTCCACAGTATTTATATCAACAGGGGCTAGACACAACCTACTCATGCACTTCTGAAAATCCCATTAAGATAAGTTGTGCTCATACACCCTTGAGAACCTGGCCTTTGAGAGGACCTGAAATTTGAGAGGACCTCAAAAAGTCCTGCTGACTTGTTCCACTACTTGCAAATAACTCTAATACGGATCTTAAGAAATGGCAAAACCAAAGAGATTTTCAGATTGTCTGACAGACAGAAATTCCATTCCACAGTATTTATATCAACAGGGGCTAGACACAACCTACTCATGCACTTCTGAAAATCCCATTAAGATAAGTTGTGCTCATACACCCTTGAGAACCTGGCCTTTGAGAGGACCTCAAAAAGTCCTGCTGACTTTTAATAAAATGTTACCTTGTGAGTACTTGAGACATTTTGAAAACATGCCTTGGATACTGGTGAAATTTAAGACCATTACCACTTGATGCAGTCAAGCCTCTCATTAATAGTGGCTTACAGGCTTCTTAATTTCAAATGAACTTTATACTATAAAGGGAAAATTCTTAGATGTATGAGTGTTTACCTCAGTTTTCCAATAAAACTCTCTCCACCCCGAGACAGGTCAGTTGGGTCTATGGAGATGAGGTAATTAGAGGTTTTACTCTTCTTTCGTTTCCTTCCAGCCAACAGAAACACCTAAGCAGTGCAAAAAAACATAGTCTAGAACACCAAAGGGGTTAGCACACATCACTTCCTGCTTTGATAAAAGGAAACCATAGGCAATTTTTCTGTCTTCCAGCATTCTTAGTGAAGTAACAGAAGGTCTCCAGGGACCTAGCAAAACCAGATAAAAATCTGAAAAGGGAAAGTGACTTCTCAACCACTCAGTCCATTATTTATGGTATAAATAATTAAATTCGATCTCTTTTGTTAAATGTTTCATTCTAAGTTGCTCTGGCTTTTCCAGTTGAATTAAAAATAGATGCTTTTCAGGCCACAGAATGCAAAGAGCCCCAACTGCTGACTGTCACATAAAGGTGCCATACATGGATTATTTAAGGCCAAAGATTAGACGTATGAAGGAAAACAGCAGAACAAAATGATACTATTGTTTTGCTTTTGGAAGACTGTAGGGCAGATCTCAATAAAAGTGAAAATATACTTAAAATATACGATTGTATTTTCTTTGTAAGACTTCTTCAGACTCCTAATAATTTTTTTATATTCAGATGCAACTGGTATGCCATTCAAGTTATTTTATGACCTTTTTACCATGCTCCCTTTCCAAGTGGAGGTAATAAGTAGGGTACATCCCTCTGTCCATTCCCTTCTTGTCTCTTGTGATTCTGCATTTGACAGTGACACCCTGTGGAGCAGGTCTTATGGCAAATTCCTCCAGGTCATCGACATCGATGAGAGGCTCATTTGTGGAAGGACTGGGGGCTGAGGCCGCTTCCTAAAACAGCAAGCAAAACTCAGGTTTCTTCACTTTTGATTTACAAGGTTATAAGCACAGAGGAATGACGTAGATAGAAGATTTGAATAGAAGAATTGATAGAAGATGCAATTTTTAAAAAAATTTAAAACAGACATACTGTCTTCCCCATTCTGATTCCTCAGCAGCCTTAGCTTATCAAGCTGAAGATCTCCCCCCATCCCATCGGTCAAGTTCTCGGCAAACACTGGCTCACAACTTCCCATCTCCCCACACTTCTTTTGTCAGAAAGGCCATACCCAAGGACAACGATGGCCTTTGACAAAAGGATGAAAGGGGATAGGAGAGACAGATTAAGGTAGATAGAGATATAACAGAGATGAGAAAAGTAGTGGAGAAACTAGTGAATCATGGCATAGACAAGTGTAGCCTCCGCTGGATAAAAAACTGGCTGGATGGCCGTACCCAGCGAGTTGTGATCAATGGAGCTAGATCTGGTTGGCGGCCAGTCACCAGTGGTGTCCCTCAGGGCTCAGTTCTGGGGCCAGTCTTGTTCAATATCTTTATTGATGATCTGGACAAGGGGATCGAATGCACCCTCAGTAAATTTGCAGATGACACCAAACTAGGTGGGAGTGTTGATCTGCTTGAGGGTCGGAAGGCTCTACAGAGGGATCTGGACAGGCTGGATCAATGGGCCAAGGACAATGGGATGAGGTTTAATAAGGCCTGCATTTTGGTCACAACAACCCCAGGCAACGCTACAGACCTGGGGAAGAGTGGCTGGAAAGCTGCCCGGAAGAAAAGGACCTGGGGGTGTTGGTGGACAGCAGGCTTAACATGAGCCAGCAGTGTGCCCAGGTGGCCAAGAGGGCCAATGGCATCCTGGCCTGTGTCAGGAATAGCGTGGCCAGCAGGAGTAGGGAAGTCATCGTGCCTCTGTACTCGGCACTGGTGAGGCCTCACCTCGAGTACTGTGTTCAGTTTTGGGCCCCTCACTACAGGAAGGACATTGAGGGGCTGGAGCGTGTCCAGAGGAGAGCCACCAAGCTGGGGAGGGGTCTGGAGAACAAGTCCTATGAGGAGAGGCTGAGGGAACTGGGCATGTTTAGTCTGGAGAAGAGGAGGCTGAGGGGAGACCTCATTGCCCTCTACAACTTCCTGAAAGGAGACTGTAGAGAGGTGGGGGTTGGCCCCTTCTCCCAAAGGACGAACGACAAGACCAGAGGAAATGGTCTGAAGTTGGGGCAGGGGAGATTTAGATTAGATATTAGGAAGAATTACTTTACTGAGAGAGTGGTCAGGCCCTGGAACAGCCTGCCCAGGGAGGTGGTGGAGTCACCATCCCTGGAGGTATTTAAGAAACGTATAGACATGGCTCTTCAGGGCATGCTCTAGTGCCCAAGGTTATTGGTTT